CACATATCTCCCAACAAGGGACCCAAAGTGGCTCACAACATTATCATTGTTAGTTCCTTTTGAATAATGTACTGTTCCCTAAAACAGTAACTAATTATTTGGGAATGATAGTCAGTAGCTAATTCCTTTTAAAAATGAACTTTCCAAACTATTTTTCAGTCTTACTGGCTGACTAGTATTATCTCTTATCATTGCAGAAGACTGAACCTAGGGTCCCGACAAGTTTCCCAGGCATCGTTCAGACTCTCTGCATAAGACCTTTACAGTCATCGCATGAAATACATGCCCATGCTTCAAGCCGAAGGGAAGACCATATCTTCAGTCATCTCCCGCTGCATTCCCAGCAATTGCCTAGGAGCCCATGCCCTATGATCCCCATTGGGGGTATCCAGATGGTCCAGGCAAGACCCAGCAGCCATCCTGGCTTGGGGCGTGGATCAGTGATGTCACTGCCGTCTGGATACTTTGGTGGTAACCTCTCTGCCTGGAACCAAACAAAAGGAAGGGACACTGAGGCTCAAAACCTGCAAGAAACTCCTTCCCTGCTTGCAACACGACCGCTTCAAAGCAGCAGCTACTTGGAAGAGAAAGTGAGGACTAGCAAGCCCCAGCAAAAGACAGCCAAGGAAGAATACAGGGTAAACAGACCTGCTGAGCCTGGCCGCTCACCGCTGGAGAGCAGTGAAGCCACCCAAGACAGTTCCTCCTCAACGGACCAGCCCTCTCCAAAGCCTTCAGCGGGTGGAGAAGAACTCGGTGGCCAGAAGGAGAAAAAAGAGCAAGGCAGCTCGCACCTCTCGTTGGAACCCCCCGCCTGCACTCTTGCTGCTGACGTCCCCACGCAGACCCTTGACAGGAGCAGCAGTGCTGGCTCTTTGTGGGAACCAGCGTCAAGCCACTCCTTTTGCCCAGCGTCTGGCCGGAGAAGGAACCTCTCGGGAGAGGTGCTCCTCCAAGTGGGGCCACATAAGAGGCAAAGCCCACCTGTAGAACCAGCGGGTTTGGGCCTGTCTCCAAGGCAGGCGAATAACAATACAGGAAGTACTTGATCCCTCCCTCCATTTTTTTTCTCTCACAGGCTTCTCCAAGTCCAGTCAATGGACTGCTCTCAACATCAATTGATTTTGGAATAATCACTGATGAAAGAAAGACTCTAGCATAGGACCAAACCCACAGAAACAGATGCTGGCTATCTTTCTTCTTCCCATTCTTTCTTTCAATCTGCTATGATTTCCACATGTATCTGTGCCTTTTTCTATACCTTTCTTTTGTTGTTGATGTTGCTTGAAGTAGACAAACATAATAATTGGAGCTATGATTTTTTTTAAAAAATATATATATATAACAGGATTTTGGACAGATTAGATTAGTGTCTCCATCATCATGACCATGTCTATGTTCCTGTGGTCTTGGGCAATACAGCTAAGAAAAGGTTCAAAATAGTTTCCAAAGGATGCACTGAAATGTTTAGGAAATACACACCTCTTTAAAATTTATTGATGGGGGAGGGAGGGAGAAGAGCTTGTTTCCCTGTAGAGACAATGACAAGCCCCCAACCTCTATTTATTATTTGGTTTATTTAATATGTGGCAAAGTGCTTGTTCTGTTTTATAATTATTGCTTTTTATTATTTTTATTCTCTGGTTGCCTCTAAATGTGCTTTAAGGACAGCTGTGACTGCTTTAATGTGGGAAAGACATGTTTATTTTTGAATTGTGAATGAAACTAGCACTTCTTTTGTATGGTGAGGCGCCTGGTGGTGGTGGAAAAAGGAAGGCTCTCCCCTGAAACGGGAAGAGTCTCAGAATGTGCCTCCTTTGCAACTAATCCTCAAAAAGCACTTTTCTTAAAAAGAGAGAGAGAGAGAGAGAGAGAGCTACAAATACACAAAGTGTTAACTGCCCCCTCAAAGGAAAGAAATCATAAGGAAATAGGAATGTATTGAATGTAAAAAGAAGAAGAAATGCTTTGAAGAATGACGTGTACCAGCAGTAGCCATCAGGAGGCCTCCAGATACTTTGGATTGCAGCTCCAATCCCTTCTTGACCAATGGCCGTGCGTTTTCTGTCCAATAGGAATGGCCATCCATAGTATCTGGAGGGCATGAAGCTTGCCACTGACTCCCAGTGTAGACTTTGCTTTCTGGTAGCCATTATTCCTGCTTGCCTGCTGACATTCCGTAGTGGCTGCTTGTTCCACATGTGCGCACAATCCCCCATGGGGTGCCTTTCACTAGCTACTAGCCATTGTGCCCCTGGGATCTCACTCTGGAAATTAACTTTCAGTTCTGAGAAATATTTTAATGGATATCTTGGAGGTAGGGGTGGGAGGGGGGAGTTTGCTTCCTATGGAAAAAATCCTGTTAGATCCCTCTTTTGGAAATCACAAGGAGGAAAGAGAACAGAGTGGTCATATATTGTTCTTCAGAGGATCATCTGTGCAGTTCCACATATGGGTCAGCAGTACAGTGCCCTGCAGCTGTGGTGGACCCCAGGCTGCATAATCCACAGCCAATGTGGCACATGGGAGTGATGGAAGTTCTAGTCCAGCACATCTGCAGGCTACTGAAGTAGTGGGAAATGTGATTAAAAATACATTTTATCCTCTGACTGTGGAATCAGAAATTTGGGGTGTAGTTCCCACTAAGGATGTGCTCTTTCATGCTTTTGGACTGTTGCTTCCAAGAATTCTAGGAATTGTAGCCTACAAACCCAAATCTGCATATCTGCAAGTTTCACACCCCTTAGAGAGGGGCTTTCAAGCTTCTTATCTGTTCTATTAGCTTCCCTGCCCTTGCTTCCTGTCTTGGTGTGTGTTGTTGTTGTTTTAATAAGCTGCCATGGTGCTTCCTGAGAGTTGCAGTCTTGCTGCCCATTAAGCTCTATTGAGAATGTTTCCCAAAGAGCTACTACTCCCTGGAAGTACAGCAGCAGAGGCTTCCTTTTTAAAAAGTAAAACAAATCAACAACAGGAAGCAAGGACAAGAAAGCCAACAGTATAGGCCAGCAGTTCATATCCTTTTCTTTACCACAGACCCCCTTTAAATATCTTTTGTTACTGAGGACCACCAAGACTTAACTCAAGATTCAACTTAACCGCCCAGAGACCGTTGGGTAGTGTGGGTGGCATATAAGTTAAATAAATAAAATAAATTTAAAACCCTAAACTTTTCCAGTTTTTGCTGTTAGCAGAGAAACTTCAAATAAGGCCCTCAACTGCCTTTTCATTTTTACAACAAGTTGCAGTCTTTTAAAGACCATTTTTGTACTTTCCCAAAGTTTATGCTCCTTACTTTAGAAAAACAATCAGTGCTCTTATGCCATGTTCCTTATGTTTAGTATCAAGATGTCTTTACAATTTTGACAACTTCATGGCCTTGTTGGAGAATACCTCGTAACACAACACACACTGATAGTTGCTTATTTTCGGAACCTGTACACATGAAGCCAGTCAACATTTATTCCTTGCTGTAATGGTAAAATTTTTAAAGTGACTGGAAGAAGCTTCATTTTGCTTTGAACAAGATGCACCCTCATCAACATCATCAGTTCCTTTACGTTTCAGCTAGAGATCCGTTCTGAGGATCAACCAACATATATTGTTATGAAATTCACTGAGATAATATCAAAAAGTCACTTTACTCAACAATAACCAAATGGTTATTGACAAAATTGAAGAAAAAACAGGATCACTAAGTCTGTCACTCACACTGACACTGACTGACTCTGATTCTCTCTTCCCACATCTTCTTTCTGTGCAGTAGCAAGAAATTCACATGCTTTCTCTCAGACACTCAGCATCATTCACTTGCATCAAAATATCTAACAGTCATTTGCTATCAAACAGTCATTTTCATAACTGGTTTTTACTTTTGTTTCTTTTTAATGGAGGCGATAGGTTAGAAAAGCCAAGTTTTAAACAAAAAAGCTTGGGGTTCTACATTCCCTTTTCTTTCTTTCTTTCTTTCATTCATTCATTCATTCTTTCTTTCTTTCTTTCTTTCTTTACTGCAAAAGATCATAACATTTCTTCAAGCCATCGTGGACCCCGTGTGAGGACATTGCGGCCCCCAGAGTCTGCAGACCACAGATAAAGAACCTGGGGTGCAGATAAATAGATTAAAAGCCCTTCTCTAAGGGGATCAAAACCTATGGGTGTGCAGACATGGGTTTGTCAGCTTCAATTGGCAGAAATTTTGTAGAACTCTGAGCATTTCAGGAAAAGGACAACCCTGCTCCCCACCAATCAAATCCACAGTCATGTTTCTATTCACCACAAACCAAGACTGTTCTTTCTGATTCCTTGACTGGATTTAAGCCATCATAGTTTTACCCATATGAGGCACCGTGAAGATCCCACAAAGACGACACTTCCAAGAAGGCAACCCTTATTCCTTCTTTCCCTTTGTTATGCCTAGTTTGAATGAAGTACTATAGAAATTATGTGTTAATGCACTGAGCTTTTCGGTATTTTGGATCGCTCATTTGGATCAGTGAATGCTCAATGTTGTCCATGCTTTTCTTTTTTCCTAAAAGGCCAACCAGAAAAGTGTCGAAGGGTTGCTAACCTAAACAATTACTTTATCCTGAGATATTCCAACAGGGCTATGACTAGGAAGAAATAACTGGGGCTTTGTCCTGAGGCAACAAAATTTAGAAGATACCAAAAGGTTGAATCTTGGTGCCAGGAAAAGAAACAGCAACACCTCCAGGCCCCTGTTGACTTTCCCTTTCTTCTTCTTCTTCTTCTTCTTCTTCTTCTTCTTCTTCTTCTTCTTCTTCTTCTTCTTCTTCTTCTTCTTCTTCTTCTTCTTCTTCTTCTTCTTCTTCTTCTTCTTCTTCTTCTTCCCCCCTTTTTCTTTTTCTTTTTTGAAAGCAAAATCTTTTTTTGGAGGGGGGGAATACCACATTCTCCTCCTCCTCTGTGGAGAGGCTTACACTCATGCCTCAGGGCAGAGTAACTGGAAGGTGCTGTCATTTGCTCTGGTTGCCAAAATTGCTAGTTATGGCTCCATATTTAAATTTCCAACATGCATGCATCAAAAAAGTGCAAAAAGATGAAATCCTAACTGACACTTTTTTAAAAGTAGGTTTAAAAACCTATGAATGTTGCCATCTCATAGAATAACATGCAGGGGGTGAGTTTGAGTTGTCTAATGTTTTATCATGCATCGTTTTGTGTGTTGGAGTAGGTCATTTTGGGTGAACAGGATGTTGCTCAGATGTTGTTTTTATGATTAAAAACCTTCACGTTGATGTTGTGAAGGTGAGCAAACCAATAGTGGGATTTCAGAGTTCATTAGAAAACTTATGTTCTGCAGTGTGTGCCCTCCTTGCATTTTTGTTTACTTCTGCTTCCAATATCTTTCTCAGCACTAAAGTCCAGATCGATCATGCCATTGAATTTTCACTAGACACCAATACTAACCAGAGGCCTTATGAAAGGTCCAATACAATTCCCTAGTTCAACAGATCAAGGGGAGTAAACATCAGCCATCGGCTGGATGGAAGTCTGTCTCCAGTGGAAACTGGCACTGCATTCATATTAATTCATAGAGTGCATTAGTGATGTCACTCATTAGCTTCACAGAGGAAGAAATCTTGTATCAGAACCTCTATGGGCATTCTTAGATGGCAGTATCTTATCTCCGTGGTTGCTTTGAATGTCTTATCCTTTCAGGTGATTTGTTCTCCCATATTTCCTCTCCTTCCTTCACGAATCTGATTTTTTCATACAACTCTGTGTGTAGACCAAAATGCACTGTATTTGAACAAATATGTGAACACAGAACAAATATGGGATGTTTTGTTTGATTTGGGGGAAATCAAAGAGCGGGCCATGTAGCCTCTGATCACCCATGGGGCAGAGTTACTCTGATAGTTCATGTTCAAGCTCAACATGCCATGAGTATGACTCAAAATAAGGAAAGAGAAACAGAAAGAGGTACACAGGAATACTCAGTTGACACGAAGTCCATTAGTGTCCATTAGTGTTCTGATAGGACTCTGTAAACTATCCATAGTTAGCAACAGCTATGACAATGATAATGATAACTATTTGGGTGTGTTTACTCTTTTTTTAAAAACTTTTGCACTATTTTTACCTACCCTTAGAAGTCAATTGTTGACTGATATGTCCACATTGCAGTGCAAACCTGCACCCAGTGGAGGCAAGCAAGCACTGTGAATGAAATGCCGCCTCCTATCTGTTATTCCAACATGGAGGATACATATTTGGATTTAGGGGGTCAAGAGTGGAGCCTGGAGGTCATTGATGCAACACCACAGAGTTGCTTAAATGGGCAGATAGATGGAACAATCAACACATGCAACTTGTTTTTGTTTTTGGTGGCAACATCTGTTGTTCTTCCACTGTGGCAATTCTTCTTGAATTCTTCTTCTTTTCCTGGTTGGGATCTGACAAGTGCCTAGATCCTGCAAATTCTCTGCCATATAATCTGCCATTAATATTTATCCTCGTGTGCAATGCCAGATAAAGTTATAAGTTCCCCTAGATTTACCTTGGTGTAAATTACAGGATGCTATGGCAAGTTCTGTGTTAGACACTGAAGTGGCTTAAGGCCTTGAACAGCTGTGTATCATTCATGACATTCTTCTTAGTGTCAGTTTTATATCCCCATCAGAGGTCAATGTAAACCCAAGTTCATTTTTTAACCTTGTGGGCAGGCAAAGGGCTTTGAAATAGACAAGCAAATATATGGGTGCAGTGATTTCATTCCACCCATTATCACTGCCAACCAACCCATCTGCTGAATGGTCTCCGGGGAATTTTTTCATGGCTAACCAGGTGCTCTGGCTCTCCTTATAGCAGCAAACTAAAAAGCACACTAAGGGCTCAAACTTCAAGGTGCTGAGGATTCCAGGGAGACCTAGCAAAGCCTTAAGAACGTGTTTGACCCAAAGCACTTAAATTGCTCCACAGAATGCAGCCTTCTGGGTCAGTTGCAAAGTTGCTGCTTGATGTGGTGCCATAATGAAAGCTAAGGAAACAGCCATGTGGCAAACTGGTTTTCCCCTTCCCAACATATTCTCTTAACTAAGGAGACTTTGTAGATTTGCTTAATTATCCCCACCCCCACCCCAGTCAGACATAACATCATTTTTGTGCTAGAAATGACTATAAAAGTAGTACAGTATACACACTGCTTAACCCTGCAATTCTGTATACCCACATCCTTACGAATAAATCTCAACTAGGCTGCAGATTACTTCTTTACCTTTTGGCTTGGTTTTGAAGTTTTGTTTGTAAGGCCGAGAAAATTCCCATTGTAAAGCTGTTTTGCATGAGAAACATTTGCAAAATCTGGGTAAGGTAAAGGTAAAGGTTCCCCTTGACATTTAGTCCAGTTGTGTCTGACTCTAGTTGTGTCTGTGCTCATCCCCGTTTGCAAGCCATAGAGTCAGCATTTGTCCAAAGACAGTTTCCGTGGTCACGTGGCCTGCGCGACGAGACACGGAACACTGTTCCCTTCCCACCAAGGTGGTACCTATTTATCTACTCGCATTTACATGATTTTGAACTGTTAGGCTGGCAGGAGCTGGGACAAGCAACGGGAGTTCACTCCATTGTGTGGATTCGATCTTACGACTGCTGGTCTTCTGACCCTGCAGCACAGAGGCTTCTGTGGTTTAACCTGCAGTGTCACCACATCCCTTTATACTGGATACTTTATACCTAGGCTTGGACAGAAATGTTTGCCCAAAGATGTATCTACTGGAGTTACAACTCTGCTATTTTGATTTCTAAACATTCCCTTTAGTTTGAGAACTCCTCCTACCTTTATCCCCTTAAAGACCAAAAAGACAAAGGTGGAAGTATTTTAAAATGATTATGTCATTGGTCAATGTTGATAGCATTTTCTTTTTGAAATGCTTTATAATCCATAACTGATGTTGCTTGTGCATTTAAGCACACAGGTATCTTGCCAGGTTTTTCAAGGGCTGTGACAGCAAGTAACTAACTACCACTTCTGTCTTTGGAAGGTAACCTTGATTGCTTATTAAAAGCCAGCATCCTGTCCCTGCCACCACCAAAAAATCAGTCATCCCAAGCTTTTGAGCTGAAGTTGATGTGATGCAGTGAGTGGTTGGGGTAGAACACTGAATCATGGTTTGCTCTTGTTTGCAATCCAACACAGTATATGTCTACTCTGAACAAAGTCCCATTGATTTCAGTAGCCTTACTCCCAGGCAAGTGGGTACAGGATTGAAGCTTCTCAAACCATATGTTGTATTCCAAATAGAAAGCAAAAAAAAAAAAACATGATTTATTTAGTTTCATTTCATCTTCCCCAAGAATCCACAAATTGAGGAAAGAGCAGCAGCCCAAACCATAGTTTGTTGATTCATGTTTAACGCCAAACCACATTCAAACTATGATTTTAGATCTGGCATGGAGGGCATGGTTTGTCAGATGGTGTTGGATCAAACAACATGATTAAGCATGACCTGGTGCTATCCCTCTGTGAAGCATCCAGGATATTTGAGGCCTGCTGCTATTAAATAGTCCACAATCCAGTAAAATCAATGCACATTGGATATAAGGCAAATAAAGAGGCTGGTCATGATTCACAGCTTAACTTGATGAAGGTTGCCCCATGTGTGTCAGTGTTGGCTAGTGCTCTACAAAAAATACAAGGACCTATCTGGGTTGCAATGAGTGCTACAGCTTCTGCCTGCTTGTGATGTCAAGAGCAATTTGGACACCTAGGATTGTGCTGACAGATTCATGTCAGTTAGAATCAGTTTGGTTTTATTTTCCCCTCTTTTAAAAAAAATAATCATGTTGAGACGATTGACTATTTTCAAAAATAAGAAAAGAAACCTAAGAGAGGT